AGAGGCAGAAGTTATAGGTCAGATAACGTAACGGGTATATGATCATGCAATTTGGATTCGTGGATATAAAGATATTAATGAATACTAAAGACAATAAGGACAGAATTATGAGTAAAAGAACAAGGTTTAGTTCTCGATTGGAAGCCTTGACAATGGGACTATTCCAGAATTTATAGAGGGCTGCCAGACAAAGCAATGTAACCACTACACCGAGCGTAGCAAAGGTAAGAATTAAAATTCCACTTGCACCACCATAACTTATATTAGCGGAGGGTAAGGCGACACACACTGTTTTAGCCTGGTTAGATATTTTTCCGATGGGGCATTCACTGCAGCTTTCAGAACCAGCAGATGGGCTGATGTTTCCACCAAGACACGGAAGGCACTGCCAACAACAAGGAGAAGTAAAAGATTTCCTTGTTCCAGGAGGACACTGCTCCGAGCATTCAGATTTAGGAGGGCAACCGGATGTAGTCGTCCAATCCAAGGCTTCATGAAAAATCAAGCGAGTTTCATTCCTCTTTGAATTTTTCCATTCTCCTATCAGCACCATTTTTACGCTCTCGACATCTCCATTGGGTACTTTTTTAAAGCTGAAAATGTCGTAATACGCCGAACCCCTGTTACCAAATCGATCGAACTTGATTTTTCCAGTCAGTCCGTCAAAATTTACTCTGCCAAGAAGCTTCTGCACCTCAAAACTATTGGCTATCTGCAATTTCGCCCGATCTTTGGTCTCGTTATTGCTAAAGTTTCGATTGAAAATATCTACCGCATGTGCCACGGCATATACGGCGTCGATGATGTACGGAACAAAGGGGCTGTAGATTTCTTTAATCAAGTTGTTAGAGCACTGCTCAATTTGGCGATGAACACACTTCTTGCTCTTCAAAAGCTTCCATATTTCGCTTGTACTGTAGTTCCATTCAGAAAAACTTCTATTGTCTCTCTCCTTGACCAATATATCTTTTAAATATTCCTTGAAGCCAGAGTCGCTGAATTCATGGAATAGAAATCCCAAAGAGTTCTCGAGAATACCTTCTACTGGCAGTGTGGAAGTTAGAGGAGCATTGCTGAAAATCCACACACGTCCAGTTAGGTTTTGCTTCTGAACCTCTGCTAAAAACTTCGTTTGATAATTTTTGTATAACCATAAGATCACAACTTTGACATTTTCCATCTGTTTAAGCTTTCTAACTATGTTCGAAATACTCAGATTCAGACTTTCGTGGCGTACAAACTGCGTCAAGGCAATGCAGAACGAGCTTTTTCTTGACGTACTTTCGCTAACTACTGCCCATGCTCCATTTCGTCCATACGAATCATCTAGTGCAACGACAGCAACATAACTCCAATTGAAGTGTGTAACCAAGTCAACCATCGCCTTTGCAAGAAAAGTATCCGAAGGCACTGTTCGAAATAAATGGTCATAGGTAAGTGAGCTAAGTTCAGCACTAGTAGCTGATCCACTTATGCTCGAAACATTGAGCATCCGTAGAAATCCAGCAATGAGTAGCGCTGTACTAGATTCCTTTGGGCCTATTAAAGAAATGATGGCTTTCTTTCTTGTGGCATTTTGGCTTAAATTGACGCAAGAATTAACAGTTAAAAGTTTGTAAACAAGTCCTGCAGCTTTTGAGAGGTTTCCACAGTAATCCCTTATGTCATATCCTAGGGAAATATTCGAAAGAAGACTTGTGTCGCTGTTTATTCGTTCGATTGCGAAGATCATAGCCTGCATGCCACCAAGTCCTGTCAAATATATCTCTCCACATTGTCTCCCTGGCTGGTCTGGTGGCTGGTGTACGTTGAAAAGTCCGCCCAACATGATATCGCCTTCTCTGTATGGAGCCTGAACAGCAACATAGAAGCAGAAGACAAGAAACAATTGGTAGTGCAACGAACTCATAGCAATACTCGTCTTTTCCTTTTTTACTTGTTAGTGAACCCAACGCATAGACATTAATTATTTGTACGTAGGTGTATTTTGAACATGAGGTAGTGATCAGTGACTTTTTATGTTAATTTCAATTCAGAAACCTGAAGTTTTACTCTACAAACAACAGCCAATTGTTATCACTTGTGAGCGTCTAGCTCGCTGGTTTATCTATATATAATAAATCAATGGTAACCACATGTAGGGGGTGGTTAAAAATTAAAACAATCTCGGAGATTGTAATGCTAGCTTTATGCAAAACAAATTAAAACCATCGCTCCTAACTTTTCATTTTGTCTTGTTTTTTTTCGCTCTCCCTCTCAATTTTTTCAAGAAGTTACCATATTGGAGAGAACGGAAGAAAAACAGAAGCATACCTTTGTTTGCTTTTCTAATTAAAAACTAGCCTAACAGTTTGACGCAGTTGTTAAATGGAGCTGTTGCGCGGCGAATAAAGAGACAAAAATAATAATATAACTATCTAGAACCTACTTTCTAAATTACGACGCAATTTTTTTACAGATTAATTTTTTCTGAACTTGACACTAATTTGCATATTAATTCAAACGCACCTTCTTACCAACAGTGTTAAAATAACTTCCAATAAAATAAATAAATGTTTCACTAAATTAGAAGACAGGAAGTAAATTAGAACATCACTCTGCCCGGATGTCACCATATGTTTTTCAAAACAACGTTTTCTTATTTTGCCATCGGAGAAGCTATCTAGACCTTCCGCTGGTCCAACCTTCTCAGAAACATAACAAAAAACAATAAGTAGCACTATCTAGTGTTTTGAGACCTCGATTCTTACTCAAAGGTTTAAAACGGTTTAGCTTTAAATATATTTGCAATGTAGTGTCTGTTAGAAAAATGAATTTTCCTCAATAATAAATTAAATTTCGTTTATTTACAAGTCTCTGACACACACGCACACAAAAAGCACGAAAATGACACCCAGACGCTTTTTGAGATGTTTTTGTGAAGTCGACGTTTTGAATTTCCGTAGAATGCACTTCATTGGAAATAATTGTGAATTTCATGTCTTAAACGGCGATGGAAAATCAATCGTCACGTTAAAAGAAGTTTAAGGCTTTTTTAATATTATTTTCTTGTTGTTTTTGTCTTGGTTTGCTGCTTTTGTTGGACACAGCTCTGTACTGCGCCTTGCGTATTAGTCAGGAAGCCATTCTTCAGGAGAAACAGGCAAACGATTCCCTTTATCCGTGACGTCATCTTCGTGGAAGATTACCGCGCTGTACTTTACGCCTGTGTTGAGAAGGAAACACCGGACGGTTTTAAAACACAATCGATTGCTGATTAATCTTTAAGAACGATTTCAAATCAAGGTTCGTTAGAAAAGGAGTTGAAATCACAGAGCAATAGAAAACCAATGAAAGACACGGGGCAATGGTAGATGAGTAACTTGTGCAGCCATAGATGGCCCAAGCTCCAGCTGTGAGATGATCATCTTGCGAAGTAACAGTCATGGCCGAATTATAAGAGTTCGTATGGGAATATTTACGACCGCTCTTCGAAATAAAAAAATACGTCAAATTCTCGACAAAAATACTTCACCTTACTTCCACAGTGCATCGCTTGTTATCTGACTACTTACTATGTTGAAGGGAACCCATGTTAGCGAGTTATCAATTTCGAAGTTTTCTAAAGGGCTTTTCTAAAGGGATCTTTCTGGTAGAAAACCTCGTAAAGGATAACTCGCTAACGTGGGTTCTCTTCAACGTATTAAACGTCAGATAGCAAGCGATACACTGGGGGGGGGGGGGGGGGGAGGTTCTTTCTAGAAATGGTGGATATGCATTCATCCTTCCGTATATTTGCTGTACATTCACGAAAACCCTTCCAAATTGATCTCCCTTGCACTCTCCCTCGCCTGTTACTTTTTGTGTCCAGATTACAAAGACAGTACCATATAGTCTCCGAGACCAATGAATATTTAATGCCTGCGCGGGGGTAGGGAGGTTTACTTATCCAACACTTTTTCAAAGGTGAGCCTTAAAAATCCCCACCAAATGCATGTTGTACATCTTCTGTACCCTTAACTCCTGAGGGTGACCAAGACACAATTTCTCTCTACAACATTTAAACAGTAACAAGCAGGCAAGGCGTAAGGATAAAGAAAAATATCAATAAGGAATTATTAGTTGATCTAATACTAAACTCTCTGAACTAATTCTACCATCAAAAGAATTACATTGTAAGTCAGCCATTAAGGAGAATTACTACTGAGTATTAAGGAGAATTACTCACTTGCGAGAGAAAGACTAATTCTAAAGGTAATCATTTCCATCATGAAATGAGTCTTGTCCGTTGCCTTTTACCCTCCTCTCAGTGATGTTTAATTCACAAAGCAGATGTGATTCCATTGTGAGACAATCAATACACATTAAATATTCTTGTATTTTAGACTGGAACTATTAATTTTTTTACGAAATGACTTTTTTGCCACGCAACAGCTGAAATTAAAAAACCTGCATCAAACAGCAAGTTTATATTTTAATCAGAAAAGCAAACGAGACATGATTCTGATTAATTTCGCTGTTTCGAAAGAGAAAAAACCAATTAAGGGTGAATGAGGACAAACTCAGCAACTCTATTGGGCGTGTATAGTTTCCTTTGTTGCGTATTTTACAATGCGAGTAGTATCAGACAAGAAGTCTCTCAGCTCACGTTTAGTTTGAGTTGAGTACGTGTAAACCGTGCTTTTGACAGTACTAATTAGGTAGCTGAATCGTACAATAAGCTTTATTAAAATCATATTGTTATTTATAACACAGCGCGTAAATTTGCCTAATCAAATTCAATTGCGTGAGCGTGCTTCATTTAACAGATTCCAATTTGCCAAGGCGCAGAGGCGCAGCCGAGTGTGTCACTGATGTTTTTACCACATTTTGACGTCCTATGTGATCTATTACTGAACAGGCGCACGGCTATTTGGAATCTATTTGCTCTATATAATAAAGAATTAAAAAAAGTGTTAATGATGACGTCATGTATGCGTCTGTCCTCTAATAGATCATAGGTGAGAACCAATCAGAATGCGTGCATAACCGAGCTTATTATATAAATTCCTATTATGCACGTTCATGACGTCAGCAAACAAATCCCTCGAGAAAAAAAATTTCTCCGGGATTTTTCACTATTGGATTTTACTATTAAAAAAATGGTTAAGACTTCGGCGGCAATTTAAGCTAAACATTGAAAGTTGTGAGGAAGCTGATGAGAAAGAAATGTTTCCTGAAAACAAAATTATCAACGCGCTGAAGCGTAACAGAGGGAGCAGATATTTTCCCGTCCGGCCCGACCTGAATCAGTCAGTAAGCATTTTTCCATATCTTCCCCTTGGTCCACCTTCCTAAGATTTGGATACACAGGGCGGGAAGGTTTTCCTGGTCTTGCTCGCGCCATCGCCTTCGGCCCTCAAACGGGGATGTTTACATTGTGTTTTTACATGGAGCGGCCTTGCGGGTCATGTGACGATAACTCTTAGCCTTACACTTCCTTGACCTAGTCCTTAGTTTTCTCTCCTGGTTGTTACAGACTTCCTTAGAGATTTGTTATAAATAATGAATAAGGTGTTTTATAAAGGAAACACCATCTACTGAACTTATTAGATTGCCAATTCTCGCAAACTTCTGGCTAGATAATATATTTCTATTGTTATGACAACTAATGTGATAATGAGTCCAGGGAGTTAGGATGTTAACCCCCACACTGTGCTATCAAGCCATACGTGATTAGATTAAAAATGTGTATTTTTATCTCCTTTTCCTTCATCCTTCCCTTCCTGGTCATTGTCTATAGGAAGTTGTCCGTCAAACTGGACGGGACTCGCGGGCTCCAGGACTGGTTGTGAGCTCTGCGTTGCTGTTTCAGGATCGGACAAAAATTCTTCTGGTATTCGACGGAAGGATGTTTCGTCATAAGGAGTATCGTCTTCTTCTTCGTCTCCTTCCTCTGCCATTTCGTCTTCGAGCTCCAAGTAGTCCTACGAAACAATAACAACAGGCAATGAGGTGTTTAACAGGCAACGTACTACAAACGAAAAAAAAACCAACAACAACAAAAAAACGCAGTAACACAAAATGGTTTTTGGACGGGAGTCGAGGAAAAGGAAAAGACGTGAATCTACAAGGGAACACTGAGAAGAAGTAGGACGATAAGCTATGATACGATAATTAACTGTTACTCAAAAACAACCAAATCGATGAAATAGCGCGGATATTGAAATGGGATAAGTACTCATAACAATTAATCCTTAAGTTTGCCGCTACCACACTTCAGCTATTAATGAAGTAATCTCAAAACCAAGGTCAAAGATTTTTACTTAAAATGTTGCTCATAAATTGAGTAACTTTTCAGGTTCATACGCTCATACGTGCGCATGCTCTATAATTATGACTTACACTATCCTCCAATAACATTCTTTCGGTGAGCTTAACAATATCCTCGAAAGTTGGCCTTTCCTTTGGGTCAGCGTGCCAGCAATTTGTCATGATTTCATATCTGAAAAGCGATTGAAATAAGTTCAACTTATTTTAAAATGAACGAAAAGCATAGATGTAAGCTTGAAAAAAACAGAATCGATCTTCATTCGATTTTGTGACAGTCACGCCAGAGATGCCAATCACAGCCTCAAATTGTGCCTAATAACTTAATAACACTCAGTTACATCAAGAGTTTGAGACTAGCCGGGAGAAAATGAACCATTAAAACTCTCCCATTATTATGCAAATATAATTTTCTTTAATATTCCTACTATTAAGATTTAACGATTACAGGAAAGGTGACGTCAGCTACCCACGAATATTACAGCAAAAAGCATGCTCTCAAGTCGCTAGCCTCCTCTAAGAATAAGTGTTAACTGGCCCATTAAGTTAGCTGTTAGCAGCCATGGAGAGCCAGGCTGACGAAGTCTGACGAGACGAAAAAATCTCTCTTAGTCTTGGTAGTCTACTCAGTCAGCCAGCCAGCTGACCGGCAAGGAGCCTGCAACCAGACTCTAAACGGGCCTGGGACAGAAGCTGTGAAGCACGCAGGTACGAGCTGGCAAAAGATGCGAACGCGTGAGAGTCTTATACTCAATTTTTAGTGCCAGACTGCTAACAGACTCACCGTACACTCGTTTCGCTCACCCAATCAATTCTGGCTGGCTTAGCCGCGCGTACCGCAGCGCTAATAAGAGGCTGGAGGCAGACTAACCATCCAGGGTCACCACAGATGATGACACCTTTGCGTCCTTTAGTTATTTAACTATTAAGCCCAAGTTTTCAGCGATTCCAGTTTATATTGGAGTGAGTTAAAAGAAAACAACAGAATTCGTCACAAATGTTATTTCACGTACATTTCATCAGTGCATCTCTCAGGTCTTAACAACCTTTCTCCTCTTTTCAAAGTTTCAACAATCTCCTGTCCTCCCAAAGCAGCATACGGGACATTGGCTTCAAAAGAGACAGACAAAAGGCAAAAAAAAAGAAGATTTTAAATTTGTTTTGATGTGTCTTCATAAGGACTGAGAGTAAATTTGAGAGACTGATATTTAAAACAAACAAACAAATAAAAAAACAAAACAAAATCAAAACAAAAAAACATAAAAAACTTAGAAAGCCAATGCAACAATTGACAAGAAAAAGATGGACAATAAACAAAAAAGAATAAATAAATAAGTACAGATTGTAAATAAATAAAAAATAAACAGATAATATGTGTCCCTTTAAACCATTGAACAGCGCTAAGAATTACTTTTTCGTTCCCCTTTATTGTAATCTCAAAATATTTTTCATCCTTGGGCTTGAAAAAACGGATACAAATATTAACCCTTTAAACCCTAACAGTTGCCAGCATCTAATTTCTCCTTACAATATCACCCCCAAAATCACACATTAAGGTCATGAGAATAGAGGAAATGATCACCAGGGAAGGAACCTTTTGATTGGCAAACAAATTCTCCTTGTCAGCATCTCAGGAAATGTATAAAGAACAGTGTGGAGAATATGCATACTGATATTATGGTGTAAAGGGTTAGCCATAAACAAGAAGCCAATGCAACTCACCACCAGTTTCAATCTCCCACAAAACAACACCGTATGCCCATCTGGTTTAAGAAAAAAAGACAAATAAATAGTTTATCAAACGTCGTTATTGGTTTACACAAACACGACACTTTCGAAATTATTGTCGGTCAGTGTTACACATGGAATTACTGCGTGAAGTACCACTTAGCTTACCACTCACTTTAGCACAATGGTAGAGCATTGCATTGCGAAATCAGTAAGCGTGATGTTCTATGTCTCTTGGCAGATTCATTTTTTTTTCTGTGCCTCGCTTGTGAAAAATGAACGAAGTTTTATCTCTCAGGAAGATAGCAGTCTGTATAGCTTTTAGCCATAAAATACTTACACATCACTCTCAGAAGTATAGGAGTAGTCTTGCAGTGATTCCAAAGCCATCCACCTGACCGGAAGTTTACCCTGCATTAGGTAAAAGATAATTCTAAAATAACTTGAAACTACATTCAACTCTTTTAGGACACAGAATACCTGTCTGCGGAATTAACTCGCACCAGTTACATGCCAAGGTCTACAAATCAAAGCAGCTGATAAATTCATATACTTTTATCACATATTGTTATGTATCTAGACTTTTACCCAGCAAAACGAGCACTGCGATTAATTGATTCTTGGTCACGTGCCCCTGATCAAATAATTCAAAGGTATCCCGACTGGGATACAATTGCGCAGTTGTTACCCGCGCGCCGAATACAACAGCATGTTTTTGCTATATGATTGTTTAAGGGAAAGTCTAAATATATAACAAAGCACTTAAGGTATGGTCTCTCGGGAAACTAACTAGTTATTTATGTTTTGTTATTATTTATGTTATTTTTATTTTGTCCTGATGTTTCGTCTCGGGAAACATCAGGACTCTCGGGAAAACAAAACCAACCGTTTCCCTCTGGACCATATGTTTAGTGTATATTGTAAAACACAACTGCAAGATTAGACAACATCAGTGTAGTAAGTAAGATGCATGGATCGGGTCTTACCCCGGTTGTAGTTTCGTACGCCCCACTTTCATAGATATCACGAGCGAGTCCGAAGTCTGCCACCATCGGTATGCGGTTCTTTCCTAAAAGCACGTTTCTGCAGGCAAGGTCCCGATGTACACACTAAAGAGAAAATTCAAAGGATGTCTTTTATCTACGAAAATTTTCGAGTTTTATTTTCATTGAGCCCCGAGAAGATGACACTCTTTGTACCAGAAAATGTAGAAAGAGGAATCCTGAAAGACTAACAGGTTCAACATACAACTTCATAATTTCAACTTTAACGAGCCTTGGTTTTGAAGCTAGGACGCCTTTATCACTTGTTTTAAGAAGGGTGATTAACATATTACCTCAATTCCTCAGAGCGATTGACTCGAAGAGGTTACATTGAGGACATTTGTTTAGGGAAATTAATTTTTTTTTTTGCAGAAAAAAAGTTAGGAATCCATGGTGGACCCGTATCTATTTGCATTCTTTTCTTCCTTGAATCTATATTGTCGTTTCTGTAGCAGAACTTTATTGTAGCAAGAGAAAAACCTTAAAAAGTCTACAGAAGGGGTATAGAAAAGAGAAATTGCCAGACCACTCTTAAATTCGCCTCTCCCTCTTAAAAAAGGCTTCAAAAATACACCCAATAAATTACCAACTGATAAAAACTTTGTGACTCAAATGGAATGCTTACGAATCTTATCATAGTGGTTTTCCTACCTTCATTTTTGCCAAGTGATTCATTCCCTTCGCAATGCCGTACGCGAAGCGAGTTTTTTCAGCATTGGTTATTCCTTTGGACTCCTCCTGCTCAGTATCCTTGTTTTTTAAGTTGACGTAATTAGGGTCTTTGAAGTTCTCTTCTCTGTGCTTCCGAAGGTAATCCAGCAAGCAGCCGTTTTCAGCAAACTTAACTACGACCCACAGAGGACCTGTGGAAGAAACAAACGATGCGAGATCGGGACGTGAGGATTACGTTTACCCCTTGACCGATTGCGCAAAAAAGGTTCTACCCAACGGCTTTTTTTTGGTCTTAAAGGAGCTTCCATCACAAACCTACTTTCTCTCTTTGCTTACATATATAGCGAATCACAGCCAAACGACAGGATGATGGCGTCAGGGAGCATTGAAATAGAGTATCATTGTCTTTTCGCTGGTATGTACACCGAAATGTTGTCGGTATATAAGCACCATATTGGGATCTACTACCACTATTCAGGGACTTTGGTATATTATTTGACTACAAGTGTCGATGGGGGCGTTACCTGACAATCAAATTCCATGTTGTTAGGTAAAAGATCACAGATGGTGTCAAAATGTGGTTAGAACAAAAAAAGGGGCACACGTGGTGCAGCCGTGTGTGTCACTGATATTCTTGTCACATTTTGATGTCTTCTGTGATCTTTTACTTCACAAACCCAAGGTAAAGTGAAATCTATTTGTTTAATATGATAAAAAAAACAAAATGTTGTTAATGGTGACAACATCTATTCGTCTTCCCTCCACTAGATGTTAAATAATAACGAATCAAAATGTGGGTATAATACAGCTCATAGTAAAATTCTTTCTGGAGCATACCACATTAAACCCTGGACGCGTGGATCAATATCAGTATCTGGGCAACTGCCCACCTACCCCTCCCCTAACCCAACATTAACCTTAACCTGTTGTCAATTAACTATTGTTGAGTAAGGGGAGGGGTAGGTGATGTAATCTTGCGAAGCGATGATTCTTACCATCGTCTGAGCATGCTCCAATCAAGCTCACCACGTTCGGATGATTTCCGACAGAAGCCATGATGTTAAGCTCGTTGAACAAATCTCGTAACTCTAGTTCAGTTCCGTGTTCTGGCGGAATAATTAAAAAAAGTTAACCCTTTAACTACCGTGAGTGACCAAGACAGAATTTCTCCTCAGAGTGCCAATATAATATCAAGCAGACAAAAAGTAAGAAAAAAAGAGAAACATCAATTAGCTGATCCAATATCAAATTCTCAGAACTAACATCATAAGAATTGTATGACAGATAGTAAGGAGAATTGCTGATGAGATCTTGGGAGAGAAGGGTTTATTAGTATGGGGAGTTCGACATCAAAATAGCTTTGAAACGAATTTCTCTTCAGCACGTTTGAGGAGAAACAATCCAGACTTAACTGTTTTTGTTTTTGCGTAAATAGAAAAGCATCTTCATTAAAAATGTGTAAAAAATGGTTTCACTTCAGCTTACATACTGCCATTTTTTTAGTTCACGCAGTAGTCAAAGTCATATATTTACAAAAAGCCTTATATTGTAGACGTAACCTTATATAAAGAACTTACTTTTTAACATCTTTACAGCGCATTCAATTACTTTATTGTTTCGCATTAGGAATCCTTTCTTTACGACACCAAAAGCTCCAGCGCCAAGTTCGTCCCCAATCTTGAGGTAATCCCGCGGGATTTCAGGCCAATTTGGATGGAAGTTCTCTGGAACTTGAGCCAACTGGAGGTGTTGCGCATTAAACTCGTAAGGGTTTGTGTCACCAGCAGGACCGTAGGTTCTTCTCCCTTGCCTTAGTTGTAACTAAACAAGTTAAAAACATTATTAACAGAGCAGGGACTATAGTGACAATGTCAGACTCATGAAATCAAGGCAAATAAAGGAGTATGACCAAAAGAAAAAAGACACACACACACACAAACAAAGAACGAAAATGACATCCTAGAAGCTTTTTGAGATGTTTCTGTAGAGTTAACGTTTTGAGTTTCCGTAGATTTAACTTCATTGGAAACAGTTGTCCAATTTCATGCAATTAACGAATGTCTCAAACGGCGATGGAAAATCAACCGTCACGTCGAAATAAATTCCTCGTCAAAGGCTTAACATAAGATTTGCAGATATAGACGCAAGGAATACAAGGATTACAGACGTTAAAAATAGAGGCACACAAACCTCATCTAAGGTAAACCTTCTTTCTTCGTCTCGAGGGGGAAATTGACGTTTACGGTAAAACACAACAGCAACCACCACCGCGACTAATACAAGAACTGCTGCAAGTATACCAACGACTATGGCGACAACTTGTGTGCCTGCAAGGCGAGCAAAGCAGTAGAGTCAAAAAAGAATTAAACAGGGCATTAACTGATCTATGAAATTGTTTCAAGAGGCATCTCAAAAGAGAGACAGTGAAGTATTAATTGCATTTATTGAAAGAAAAATACTCCTGACACTGTGGGAACCCAGTAACTGAACTAAGAATGTTTCAGAAAGGGGATTAGAAGTGTGGCAGCAGTATGGCTAAGTGTAAGAAAAAAAACTCGTATAAGAACGATCACAACAATAACAACAGTAACAACGATTAACAATGTTAAATCAAAAGCTTGATACAAACCCTTAACTACGCACCTTTCTCGGTAGTCATTTCTAATGGCTGCGACAACCCGATTTTTCCACTTTTATCCCTATGTGCCGTAACTCGTACCAGGTACTCGGTATCAGGTTCGAGCTTAGTCAGTTGCGCTTTGGTGAGATCAGCGCCCACAGACATTTCAGTGACATATCCAGTTCCACCTAGAACCTTTTTCATCTGCACAGTGAACCCACTGACTTCGTACACTTCAGGGTGGTGTGGTGGCTGCCACGTGATGGTGGCTTCTTTAGCTTGGATGTCATCAAGTCTCAAGTTTGTCGGGGGTGGCGGAGGTAAATCTGCGGCATAATTAGAAATAGATTTGTCATTTTATCTGTCTGTTAGACTTCGAAATCCGCGCTGGATTGACGGTTTGCGTGCTGAAGTCTGAGTTGAGAAGTTCGGGTTCAAGTCCCGGCCGTCTTATCGTGTTGTATTATAAGGCAAGACACTTTACTCTTCACCATGCCTCTCTCCACCCAGGAGTATAGATGGGTATCAGCAAACTCTCAAGGAGTCCTGACGGTGGACTGGGGAAGGGAGGGGGGGGGGGGGGGGGGCTGTAATGGACTTGCATTCTATCTAGTCTCTTCCCGCAACGGAAACCAGGATAAGTTCCAGGTAGAAGGACAGTTTCGTCAGGGTGCAGACTTTACTTCTTTGACCTCATCATCAAACTATAAGGGCCGGTTATTTACACAAGGTGTAACCCAAATCCTCAGAGATTCACTATCAGAGGGTTGACTCTGTTCACAAAAATCAATGTTCAGATAAATGGCTGGTAAACAACAGCTAAAGTCAGACTTTGGCTGGTAAACAACAGCTAAAGTCTGTTTAAATAACCAGCCCTAGGTGATTTGTGCGAGAGGCGTGAAGAAACTTTGTATTCCATGTTCATGATATCACTGTAAAAAGAGGAAGTAAAAGGCATACCTGAAATAGTGACGCTTTTAATAGGAAGCACACCAAACTTTTTTGAGTCTGCCATTCTCAGGATTCCTTTTTCTATTTCATCTGAAGGATCTCCTTCTGTCGTCGTCGCATTGATAAAAAGATTCATAATGATCCTAAAGAACGAAAGCGCAATTAATATTGAGTTGTTTCCATAGTTGCCATGGATGGCGTGGTAAGCGTACTACACTGGCCGAGTTTGAAATTATTGAATAGCAAATCAAAGATAAATTTGATAGTTTAAATTTAGAAGTAACAGTTGAAGGATCTTGTATTGTAATCTTACTGTTGAGAGTAGAAAGGTTTCTTGTCAATGGAATTGATTGACGTATCGACGACCTTAGCCAAATTTATGCTTACCAGACTGACTAAATAATAATGAATTAAGGGGGTAAGTGTCTAAACAAATTTTCGTGTCAGGTCAGTGGGGGTAGAACAAGATGATTTGGTTTTATCAACTGAATTGGCCATCATAGAGAGATTTTAAAGCTGACGCTTCGAATTTAAAGTTAGCCTTTCGTCAGAGCGAACCACGGTCCTCTAGTTTTCTATGACAACGGGTTTAACTTAGTAATAAATAATAATAATGATAACAATGATATTAATAATAACAATATTAAAAATAACTATAATAGTGCTCGAAACGTCAGCCTTAAAATCTCTCTACGGTGATCAAGTTACATTATCAACTCAGTTAATAAAACCAAATTATTTTGACTGATTCAGTCCCTTGCGTCGGTTTGGGCAAAAGAAAATCTTCTAACCCGAACGGCGAGAGTGTATGTAAAAAAAAAGTAGTAAATGTACATTCAATTCACCAAAAATCTCTTGAATACTCACTCAACATCCACTTTCCAAACTGTGCGAATAACTGACACTCTCATATCCTGTAGTTTTGAGGAAAAGTTTCCCACCTACAAGAATATCACATATAAATATTCATCACTTTATTTCAATATAATTTTACCAAATAAGGTCATGAGAACGCGCAAAATATGCGGCGGTATTACACAGTAGAACAGACCAAAAATCCGGAGCAACAAAATGGCTGCACTGAGCGATCTAAATTTTGATTTTTAATTCGTTTTTTAGGCTCCACTTTTAAAGAAAGGGACTTAAAAGCACGAGAGATTTTTTTCGTTGGTAACTAAGAAAACTGTAATGGTTTTGTTCGTGTTGTTTTCGTCTTTCACGTACTCCTTATGCAATCGATACGATGCAGAGATAAGGCCGTACAATGTATTTCGCATACTAAAGAAAAATTAAGACAGTTAAAACTGAAACAATAGTGGAATAATAAATCCCTTATTTGATGGTTTAACATACAATACGAGCTCATTGCTCATATTTTTCCTCGCCCCTACAAGGCTCGGAAAAATAATGGGCAGCTCGCAAAATGTCCATCGAATAAGGTGCTTATATTTCTCATCTAGGAATCACTTCATCACTCACAATTTAGAACATATTGCAATGTTTACCATCTAGATAAGATCTAACCTCTGATTTAATCTGCTGACCAAGGAAGCTGTTGAGCGAAGCATTGTTTTGGTAATGCTTTTGGACTTCTGAGGTCCATTCCACTTTAATGTTCATTTCTACCGTCTCATAAACTGCCGATAAAGTAATACAAAGCGTGAATATTAGCCCAACATTTTAAATAACACGCTCACATGAATCGAAGAAAGCAACCAATTAGGTTTTAGCGAGAAAACCAAGCGATGTCAGGATTCAGCAAGTACTGAGCAACTGATAGTTAATGTAGTACCGCTCAGGGTAGTCTGTTAACATAATTTATAGGAAGTGTGCAATGAATTAAAATCTACTGTACGCGCTCTATGGTTGGCTGTTGCCTGTGAACAATCATAAGTCAATGTTTGCAAGATTTCTTTACGGATTAAGCAAGTTACAACCTTACAGAAGAAAAAGAGAGAAAATAAAATAAAGAAGCAGGCGAAAACTTTTTTTGATACTTACATTGAACATAACTGAAAAATACGTGAACTGGAACAAATGCATGTAAAGTTCAGTGTTTTTATGGGTAATTTAGTAGGATCAACCGAATTGATCACGTAAATTGGCCACCGTAAAGAGTTTCGAAGCTGACGCTTCGAGTGTTAGCCCTTCGTCTGAGCGAATGGCGAAGGGCTAACTCTCGAAACGTCTGCTTCGAAACTCTTCACGGAGGCTAATCTACGTTATCAACTCAGTTCATAACACTACATTACCCTGTTATACTCTTCCACCGACGCAGCACCACAGTCTCCTTAGACACTTACCCCTTTATCAGTGTTTTTATGGTTTTACTTACAATACTTTGTCGAAAAAAACCGATCAGTCCATATTGATGAGTATTTTCAGTTCAGGAAGATGTAGGGACTTCAAAGTACCTTCCACATCCAGAACTTGTCTTCATAATTGTTGGTTTTGTTGTTGTTGTTGTTGTCAAATGAAGACAGTCAATCCAAATAATTATTGTCTGAAAACAATTATGGGTCATTATCACGTCGACCGCTAACATTCCACAGCCAAGTTGATAATCTATTACTTAAGGTGTTAGTCCTTTGATATATATATATATATATATATATATATAAAACTGTGCTAGAAGTAAACCCCATACCTCCGACCAAAGTTAACGTAACATTGCTTGAGGCTTTTCCCAGACGATTCTCAACCACGCACTTATAAACTCTCTCTTTGTCCAGATCGTCAACGTTTGAGATTTGCAAGTTTCCGTTTTTTACAGTCAACGTCTGAAATTCTGACACCATGGGATCATTATCGTTGATTAAATTCACTGGATTTCCCTGCCTGACATCTTTATTCGCACTAGGGCCATCCACTCTCCAATATAGAGACGGTGTTGGAATCCCTGAGTAGTTGCATTTCAAAGTTACTGGATCGCCACGGCGCACGTACACCTTCTGCGTCTTGGGCGCTATAGAGGGTGCGGCTACGAAGAGAAAATAAGCGAATTTTACCAATCAATGGATATTACACAAACGTTATGGATCAATGACCTTACCCGCTGTACCTTGGAACTGTGAGTACGTGGGTCGAGAACATAAGTTAGTAATGAAGGTTGATGGCCCCTTTGCCGACTCAGAAGAGACTTAGACTCTGCGTGAGAAGAGTTTCTCGTCGATTGAATAGATGACCTTAGTTTCAATTGCGTTGTTTCATCAAAACAAATAGTTAACACACCAAGTCGGGACTCCACTCGGGATAAGATCTTCCTTGGAAATACGTAACACAATGCATGTTTCCATTGAGACACTCTGGTACGCTAGTTTACTGACTTAGACCAAAAATTAGTGGGGGACTGGTCATTATGGTCATTATTTGCCGCCGGGGAAAGGGGAGCAGAAGGGTTTGGTTGTATCACAATAAAATTTACCTGATCCCCCTAAGGCTCTGAAGTATACTAACGACCCCCTCCCTCCTTTATTAGCAGTCAATTCTCTATAATCCCCCGCTTTATACTCTATTAGCGACGACTGATTTCCTCTCCGCTCGCCCTGAAATAAAACCATGTGATCTCATTTCCCTCCCCCAGAAATGAATAAAAAGTAAACTTATTCTTACCGCAACGAGTGTTATATTGATAAGTGGTAACGTTCCCGGGTGCTGGAGTTGTTATCACTGACCCGTTCTTCAAGATTCCGATCACTTGCACCGTGTATGATTTACAATAATCCAGAGAAGAAATAATAACAGAAAGTGTGCTATTGTCCACAGTTATATCGTTCAGCTCAGCATTTCCCTCTAAAATAACGACTTCATAGCTGGCGACCTTTTCATTGCTAGAGGGAGCATTCCAACTCACATTAACGGCGGTTTCATTTATGAAGTGGGCCGTCAAACCAGGAACCCCTTCAAAATAATAAATCAAATTAATTTAGTGTTTTTGATAAAATGATCCTCACAGATTCGTGGCGAAAGGTCTCATGCATGCTTACGTCAGAATACCAAATTTTCAACTTCAGGCCTCGCTTACATGATGAAGACTAGTGAATTTTAATGAGAGTATTCCCAAAAACACTGAAATCTAAAACACAAACAAGAAACCTCACAAAAAATAACTAGGAAGTGACAAAGATTCAAGAACATTTAATGCAAACGAGGCTTGGAGAACACACTGAGATTTACACTGAGAGGTACCATCCACTCGTTCCTTTTTTTTCCGATGCATCGGAACTCATGGATAAAAATCGCTCGCGCGCACTTTTCATGGAATAATCTCCATTTAACTTATAGACCATGTAAGTGAGTGCGCGACTCTTCTAAATGATGGACGAAGATCAGTGATCCAAGAAAACCAAAGTCATTGTGAATCAAAGAACTACTGTTGATGACTAAACATTGGACAACAGGCAACCCAAACTAAACGCTTGGAGTCTGCTTGTTCATTTGTTTCATGGTTCTTGATGTGATTGTTTTGCTTGTTTTTTTCCTATTGTTTTGATTGTAGTTTTTGTGGCTTTTTTCTTTTTGAATATTATTTTCTTGTTGTTTTTGTCTTGTTTTGCTGCTTATGTCTGACGAAGCGGTGTACTGTACCTTGCGCATTAGTCAGGAAACCAATCTCCAGGAGAAACAGGCAAACGATTCCCGCTATCCGTGACTTCATCTTTGTGAAAGATTACCGCGCTGCACTTTACGTCTGTGTTGAGAAGGAAACACTGGGCGGGTTTAAAACACAATTAATTTCCTAATTAATCTTTAACAATGGTTTCAAATTAAAGTTCGGTAGAAAAAGAGTTGAAATCACAGAACACACAATGAAAGACACGGGGCAATGGGGATGAGTAACTTGTGCAGCCACAGGAAGCCTAAGCTCCAGCTGTGAGATGATCATCTTGCGAAATAACAGTCATGGCGGAATTATAAGAGTTTGTATGGGAATATTTACGACCACTCTAAGGAATAAGCGGGCTTTTCTTATTGCGTAGAAAACCTCAAAATGGAGAACTCGCTGAAATGGGTTCCTTTCAACGTGGTAAGCGGTCAGATAACAAGCGATGTACTGTGGAAGTAAAGTGAGGTATTTTTATTGAGAAATTGACTCATTTTATTACTCCCGGCATAGAGCGGTCGTAAATATTCCCACACAAACTCTTATAATTTCGCCATGACTGGTACTTTGCAAGATGATCATCTCACAGCTGGAGCTCAAGCCGCCTGTGGTGCAGCTAGCGGTTTTGTGTGCGCTTACACTTTACGCAATGAGGCTTGGGACCGAAGATAGTTTTTTCCTCTTGTGAATTCGCTGCTCATCGCTTTGCGGAAAACCGTGAAGCGTACACAAAACCACCAGCTATGCAAGCAAGTAGGTGAGAGGGGAGGGGAGGGGGGACTGGTGTCTTCCTAAAAATAGTGGATATGCATTCATCCTTCCGCATATTTGCTGTACATTCACGAAAACCTTTCCTGATTGATCTCTCTCGCAGTCTCCCTCGCCTGTTACTTTTTGCCTCCAAATTACAAAGACAGTACCATATGGTCTCAGGGACCAGTGAATTTTTATGGAAGGATTTTGTTTGTGTCCCATTGAATCCCCTGTTTTATAAAATTCTTATTATTCCACCCCCCTCTTTGGCAGATTGGAAGTCAATTTTTTTTAGTCACTCCTTAACCCTTTAACTCCCAGAAGTGATTAACATGGAACTTCTCCCTATGATACCCACACTGAATTCTCCTGACTGATTTACAAGGAAATATTTAGCAGCTAGAGGGGAGAATTAACAATCAGATCTTGAGAGTTAAAGAGTTAATTAATACTTGATTGTCGACAGCTGATGCCCCCTCCATTCCACCTGAAAACCATGTGATCCCCCTCAGGGTAAATGGCACTTAAGCTCGTTGAGCGAAAAAAGGCAGATGTGAGGGGGCGCCATTGACAGATCCTAAAATAATGTTATCTCGTTGTAACTCCGCATTTGGGATTAAAAGCAAATGATCAGTCAACCGTAACACAGACGTACATATCCCATTCTACACGTAGCTTTGGAAGGAAGACAGACTAAATTCATTTCGACCTCCATTTGATTTAGAATCTAAGTAATTCGTCTCTTTGTGGATCGTCTTTCGGTTTAATTCTTTTTTTAAAAAAATGTAATTCAAGTTAATTAAGTCCTTCACCGCCATTGTGTTTAAACATTCCGAAGCACGGTATTTATAACTTTCGTGATGATGCGCTTCGTCAACTGAAGAGCGATCAACACTTCGAAAAGCGCAGCCTTACGTTAGCTTCGAATCCTATCGCGAAAACCTCGCCGTGAAAGAAAGTCTTGATTACCATCAGAATATACAAAGATTGCTTCGGTTGGTGGATGAGCTATTTGTCAAGCAGCAATATAAGTAAACATTTAAACCACTCGCCAACATTTTAACAACTGCGACGTGTTTGACGGACAACAGTTGGTTACAAGAACGTAAAAGTTGATGACTGACATTGAAATAGGAAAGTACTCCCATCTGAACGTATACAGAGGAATAGAAGATTTAAGACTTGGTGAATTAGCATACCACTTCTGGTGTCTGTGACGGACGCAATTGTCTATCAAAGCTCGATTCTCTTCACTGCCTGCCTCAATTCGTTTCGTAAAAAGCATGCACAATGTGTAACATTGTTCATAACATCTTACCTGATAGTTAACGTACAGTTGTCCTTGTTACGTGTTTCATTTTGATGCCTCAGCAAAAGTCGACCGATGTAACACTTCAATAACCTTAGCTTCCTGTTCAGCAGCTCGATTAGTACTGGTGTCTAGAATACGTCACACAAGTTCCTGGTTACAACTACCCACCTCTTATCTCGTATGCCAAAGAAATACGTTTTTAAAGGCATCTTTAGGAAATATTATTGTATATGCTATGGATTTCATCGCCGGGAAAATTATACGAGATCTTCCCTGATATTTTTGAGCAGCGGATACTCTCCAAAATGATGGCAACAACATGGCGGAAGCAAAGCCTTATAATAGGACTTTGTGTTTTTTCAATCATAACCACTTTAGTGAACAAGGTTACCGATTTTTGTTGTTTGGAATGTATTTTATATTTGATATTAATTCGATTGTTATCTCAATGTTTCAAGTAAAACGTCAGTGCAACATGCAGTTAGGGCTGGTTATCTTCGCTTTTTCCCTAAAGATTCGTCAACAAAGGATCGTTCACAGAATAAAATCAGCTAAACCGTATTGACACTTTTCCGTCCGTTTGTAATCCGCAGCACGTTTTATCAGACCTGAGGTTTACTTATCCAACAGTTTTTCAAAGGTGAGCCTTAAAAACCCTTATCACATACATGTCATGTACGTTCTGTACCTTTTAACTCCAAAGAGAGATCAAGTTACAGTTTCTCCCTACGACATTAACACAATATCAAGCAAGCAAGGGATAAGAATAAAGAAAATTATCAATGAGGGGATCAGTAATTGATCCAATACTAAATGATCTAATTATGCCATCAAAATAATTCCAATTTATGTCAGCCAGTAAGGAGAATTACTAATGAGATCTTGGAGTGAGAAGAAACTATCCAAACAGATATTTCTTTGTTGGTTACTTATGAGAATCATAACCAGTAACTTCCTGTGGCTGATGATTTCCTTACCCCTGGTATAAATAGTATAAGGAAATTGAAATGACCATCTCACTTAGAAGAGGAAGACTAATTCCAAAAATAATCATTTTCACTGTGAAATAGTCTTGCCTCTGGCCTCTCTTACCCTCCTCTCCAGTGATGTATGATTCACATCATATGTGATTCCACTGAGAGACAATCAATAATATTGCATACTACAAATGAATGCTGTTTGTCTTTTTTTGTTTTTTTTTTTAGCTGGCAGACTGGAACTGTTGCCATGGTGCTACTTTCTTTGAATGCTCTGGGATACATTGAAATCACCTTTTTACCTGTCACAAGGTACATCTGAGGAGTTGTAGTTAATTTTGATAATAACTGGTGTTATTTATGTTACTACATTTATATATTCACACATCCCCTTAGCATTTTGGTGTAAAGCTGTGTTTTTTGTACATGCACTTGTAAAATTTGTATTGCTTTCCTTCTTAAATTTATTCTTTATTTCATTATTTTAGCGCCACTCTTGCATCATGGCTGCCTGCTTCAGTGCTGTATAGTGGAATAATTTATTCAGGATCAGTTTCTCTGTCAAGACTGGTCAGTGATCAAAGTGTTTATCAGAAATAAATGAGATGATCACATACTGATCTGTCAATAACAAATATTGAACTGATCCTCTCAAATAATTATGAACTGATCAGATTCCTCTTAACAAAATTTAGAAGCCTTAAAAGATTTCCCCCTAAAACTTTTTTTTTTTATTTCAGCCAGTCTTGACCCTATCCCTAGTCTCTAACTTAAAATTTATCTAGTATTTGGGAAGCTTAGTTTGCACTTCAGTGAGGCTGATGCTGTGTCAGGCTTTGTTTTGTACAATTTCTTTCTTACCTGTCACCTGTGTAGGTGTCAGTTCATAGGGACTTGTTTCTTCTGCTGTCGGTGTTAAATGGGAGTCTTAACCCTCTAACCCCTAAGAGTGAGTGGCATCTAATTTCTCCTTACCATATCACCCCAGGTAGCTGATCACTGACTAAAGAAGCTCTTGGTTGTTGACAAATTCTCCATGTTGGCATCTTAGGAAATGTCCAGAGAACAGTATGGAGAATATGCATACTGATGTTAGGGTCCTAAGGGTTGAAAGAAGACACCTTGATAGTTAATGGTTACATGTATACACTCGATTGCAAAAACGTTGACACGCAACAAACGTTTATAATGAACGATGAGACTCAGCAAAGAGCTATCCAAACTTTCCCGGAAGAAAATGTTTTATCATGAGAAAAGATTTTCCATGAATAATGAGAGAAGTAAATCACTGATTGTGTATCTGTGCGAGCATTTCCCATAAAGGTGATGGGTCTTGTCGTTCGTGAATCAAGCTTATTAGGTGTCAACGTTTTTGCAATCGAGTGTATCTGAAAAGTTTCCTATGTAGACATTTTTGTGGTAAAACATGGGAAACTTTCTTTTTCCCCTATCTGTCTTTTCCTAAAACAGCCAGTTCCAGTTTTCTGTGCCATGTGTTACTTACAGACATTGTTGGTGGCATTATTAGAATCATTCATATTTAAAAAGGTGAGTGTTTGAACTATTACATTGTATGTGAACACTTATGTACAATGCAGCTCTTGTTTTTAAGTCAGAAGCAACATTATTCATCAATTTATTATTAAGTAATAGTAACTGTTAGTGATTGCTAAGAGAGCAACTTGTTGCAAACCAATCCCAACCAACTTGCCAGCTATTTTCACTATAATAGCTCTCCAACAGTTACCTAAAGTGAAATACATATGGATGTTAACATTGATCACTTCACACATGAATGTTCATAGATATATGACATTCCATGCAAAAAAGTTGGTTGATGAAATTCCCTCTTGACAGGTGAACCAAATACTTTTTTTGTATACAATAAGTATTTTAGACTTTAAAGAGGAAATTTGTTGATCAAAATCAAAACCTTTCTTTCTGCAGGAGCCATCAACAAATTCACAATTCAGGTGGGGTTATGATCATAATTTGTCTTTCAGGCCTTCATTGACCCACTTTTCAAACAGATTCATACAATAATACATTGCTTCTGTCTCAAATATTTTATTGCGTTTTTGAAACATTTATCCTGAAAATGTAAAAGCCTCAACATTCCCCCCTTCTTGGGGAACCCTGGCATATTTGACCTTTGTCCATGCACAGGGTTGAGGAATTTGAACCTTGTCTGGCTGGGATGGAGAATTTAAACATAGAGTGTCAAGTCTAATTTCAGTGGAATGCAAGTGATTTACAGTTAAATGTGGAGTTGCATAATAGTAAATAGTTTACTATTGTAAATAATTTTTACCTTGGGGCAGGAATTTCAACAAATAAATCTTCTTTAGTTCAAATGCTATTAGGGGGGTTGCCAGGGGAATAAGACTTTGATAAAAATTCAGCTGTTTCTAAAATGGATTTTATTTCCTTTACAGTTTGATATTTACAGCTATTGCAACAGTATCTGTTGCAGGAACTGATGTGCAGGTAATTTTATATGCCTGAGTGTATTTTCTTATTTCCCTTGTAAATATATAAAAACATTAATTAGTTACATGTGTATAACTTAAATGTTTGTGTGTCCTAGACAAGGGTTTATTCATTCATTGTATTTCACTTCATGTTAGTTTGATCAGATGGGATACAAATGGCTTATGATTCATTCTGGACTTTCAGGCAAGTATTGCTGAGAAATTTAGGTTTATAATGGGTACTAGAAAGCTGTTGGAAAACCCTGATGAAATGGCAGAGGATGGGGGTGTGAGTAACCTGCAATGGACTGGCATAATCCAAATGGGAGTAGCAGTACTCTAAGTTACCTCATGCCACTGAAACTGGAATAAGCCCTGGCTAGATGGACCCTTAAACTCCCAAGGTCTCAGTAGTGATTCTCCTTGCTGTCTCTATACAGTTCTTGTGAGGTTAGTTTGGAGAATCTGGTATTGAATCAAATAATTATCCCCAGGTTGATAGTTTTCTATATTATCATCACTTGTCTGCTTGATATTGTATTGATATTGTAAAGAGAAATTCTGTATTTGGAGTTAAAGGAAGGGCAGGCTTTTCCATTTTCCAACACTTTTACATTGAAGTTTCGCAGAGATTAATCCTTTTTTATTTAGGATGTGTGTTTCAAATTATCAATTTGGTTGAAACAAGGGTCTGTATTTTTTTCCATGTAGTCAGTGAATATATCTAGTTTGTTTTCATAGATTCATTTAGTATAGCCAATTTCCAAGTTTGTAAGATATTAAGAGTATTCTATTAACTTACCAGATGGTTTTGTAATTTATATAAATAATAATAAAATTACAACTGTCTTGTTAGGTGACCATTTCATGTCTCTGTCTTTCATTCCAGCCATTTATGTATATTATGGAAAATCCCAAAATAAGAATTCATTAAATGACTTGGATAAATTATTCTACAATGCTGTTGTGAGGTTTGTCTAATTATTGTCTTTTGCTGATTGTTTTTCTCAATGCAGTGAAAATCTTGATTCTTATTAATAAGTTTCATTGATGCTTTTGTTCTTTGTCGTTATTTTGGCTCCTGTTTCTTTTGTCTTGTTCTTCCTAATTTTTCTTTGATCTGTGAAAATGATTGACAGTTTCTACAGTCTAAGGAACCTTTTTAGTGTATCATGGTTTATTTATGTTGTGATGTTCTACATCTGTGACTGGTAATGAACTTTCATTAGCATCTCCATCTCTGCAGATCAAAATCAAGCATGTGATGATTTTAAGGAAATAAAGCTTCTACAGTAATTATGCACCTTGAGTTTGGTGTTGTTGTCACTTTTCTTGTTATTGTTGATGTTGTGTCTTGGGCTGGTATTCAATTGAGATATATTATTGAAATAATACTTTTCTTTTGTGTTTTTTTCACAGTGTAATTGTTTTGATGGGAATCAGTGTTTTAACAGGTAAGAAGAGAAACTTTTTTTAAATATAACTTTGGGCAAACCATTCAAATCCATTGGGGTAGTAGCCTGGCAAAGGGCTTACGCTCAAAACATCAGCTTTGAAACTCTTTATGACGGCCAATTTACAATATCAACTCTTTCATAATGTAAATTACACTGCTGTATTTTCCCACTGACGCAACATTACAGTTTC